AAAAAAAAAAAAAAAAAAAAAAGAAAAGAAAAAAGAAAATTATTTAAATGAAAAACAATGGTTTGGTTTGGTTTTTTTGAGACAGGGTCTCTACGTAGTTCAGGCTGGCCTTGAACTCATCATGTAGCCTAGGCTGACCTGGAAATCATAGCAATCCTTCTGCCTCAGCTTCCCAAGTGCTGGAACTATAAGAGGGCACCACCACACCTGGCTAACACGTACCTGGATAACAATGATTTATGACATCATTTAAGAGACCCAAATTATGTCTGTGTCTCGGAAAATTTCAGAAAGGATTTGTGTGGGCCTCCTAAGAACTTGGCCTGACCTCAGTTGGGGGATCTGGGGGACTCCTGACCAGGCCCAAGTGTCTTTCCTTCTTCACTCACTGCTGGCACCACAGTAGGCCCTCTTTTGTAAGACTAGAAGACACAAGCAAACCCAGTAATGAAAACCAGATCAGTGGCTACCTGGGGTTGGGCCCAAGGAGAAAACAGATTACAAAGAGGCTGGGGACCTCATGACAGAAATGTCCTGTGATGTGACTGCGGTGTTGCTTCACATGTGCTCTCAGCTGTCAGAAAGCATTAAACTGGCTGGGGATTTAGCTCAGTTGCTCTGCTGCCTGCCTCACAAGTGCAAGGTCCTGAGTCCAATCTCTGGTACCAAAAAAAAAAAAATTCATTAAACTGTACACTCTAAACAGGCATCAACTGTTGACATTTGAGAGATGCTGTACTTTTCTTTTTCAGAACTTGGGTAGGTACAAAAACATCCTTTATGGATGTACTTGTCCTGTATCAGTGAAATCTCTATGACAATGACCAACTGGTTAACACCTGTGAGGCATTTTGAAGGCCATTCCCTGCCATAAAGGAATATACTTCCTTCTCTAAGACATGCTGTTCCTTCTCTTCTCAGGCTGCTCAACACACACACTGTTCACAAATGAGTAACCAGAATTGGCTGCTATAGCCACCAACTTCACATATAATCATTAAAATGAGAGCATTAGATGCCAATAAAAAGAGAATTTAAAAAATAAAAAAAGAACAAAACAGTTAAAGTCCTGCTAGGTGAGTCCACCAGAGAACAGTCTTGGCAGGCAGAAATGACTTGCTGGGATGAGTAAGTACAGCACAGGGAGAATGGGACACGTGCTTCTGTGTCACCTCAGGACAGGTGACATAGGCAAGCCCAAGGCAGCACATAGCCAGGCTACCTCATACTGCTCAACAAGACCGAGGTCAGGCCTGTCCAGGCCGCTATCTGTCAGAACCATATCCTTAGGGTTCTTGGGTGAGATCAGAGACCTCAACAGGGAACAGGCTAAGGCTGGCCCAAGAGAACAAACTTGTTTCCCAGCCCTGTTCCTCAGCAGATGCACACTGAGTCAACACATGCTGAGAGAACTGAATCAACACACACTCTTGCCACACGTGGGAGAAGGCAACATGTGTCACTGTGCTGCTGCCTGGTCCCCAGCCAGGCAGAATAACTGGGGAGCTGCAGTCAACACAGACCTCTCTTTGCTTTTGCCAAGATGACTGGCTAAAGGAATTTTCCAATAGCACAGCAGAAAGCATAAGGCAGGCAGAAGTGAATGCTGACTCATATATTCCTGTTCATGCTGACTACTGTCACAGATCTCCCCTGACACACTCCAAGTCAACTCATAACTTATCTGTGAGCCTAGTACATCCCACAGGCACGCTGCCCTCTTCCACAGGTTGCAGGCATCACATAGGTGCCCCACTCTCATGCTTCGCACTTAAGTAGCACAACAATTACAAAAGTGAGCAATGGAAAAGTCTCACTTTCATGCATGTTCAAATAATGAGATCTTAAAAATTTAAAACATAACAAGAATCAACAGACTTCAAAGCAGAGTAATGACTTGTGTACACAGTATCTGCTTCTGCCATCTGGCAATGCCTGTGTCCCTCTGGTAAACAAACAGAAGTTTGCCAAGGTCACTACTTTGCTAAGAACAAGGTACTGGGTCTCACTGTCTGTAAAATGAGAAAGCTCTGTAACACTTCTTCCTTTTATTTCGCCACTAATCTATAAACTCCTTAAAGGTGAGAATATGGTTGTAGTCATCTTTATATCCTTGTATATGCTGTGTTCAATAAAAATTTCCTAAATCTTAAATTGTTTTTCAGAAAAGGTTTAGAGATGTCAGATGGAGCCACTGTTTTGAATATGGTAAAATATGACAGCTTGAGTTTTTTTTAAAAAGATGATCTTGAGGGCTGGGGATGTAGTTCAGTGGCAGTGATATACCTGCCTCACAAGTACAAGGTCCTGAGTCGGATTCAAAAAAAATGATTTGATGATGTGAACATTTCTCTTATTGAAAAACTCAACTGTAGCTTTACTTTCAGTGATACTTGTAACATTTTCAGACACTGCATGATTAACATACTCAAACTATACATCTGATACCATGACTCGGCCTTACCTTTGTCTTTCTGCCTCCCTTCGTGCATCACTGAAAACACCAGTCTATTAAAACAGTTCAGGAAAGATGGGAGGGCTTTCAGCATCACCTGAAAGAAGTAACAGATAAAAAATATAAAAGTGGAGCTGGGGATTTAGCTCAGAGATGCCATGAATGCTTCACAAGTGCAAGGTCTTAAGGTCCTGAGTTTGATACCCAGGACCAGGGGAAAACAATGTGTATATATATGTGTGGGCGGGGCATTTAGCTCAGTAGTGCCACTGCCTGCCTCACAAGTGCAGGGTCCCAAGTTCAAGCCCAGGTACCAAAAAAAGTGTGCAAGCAATATTCAAGTTTGCCTGCTCGTTTCCTTCTTTGCCTTGCCCAGCAGGGCACAGAGCAGGTTTGTACGACGGCTCAGCACATGGATGCCCAGGGCAGGATCCTCTCACCTCATTTTCTGGTGACTGTTCATCCATTCAGCACTGGCTCTTTAACTCTTGCTTTAAAAATGTGGGTAAGGGCAGTGATGGGAAACTTTTTACGAGTTTTCAATGATTTAAAGAACCCAGTGTGGCACACATGCCAGTTTCACCACCACTGGATTAGGGGTTCCACACTATACAATTTCCAGCACCCATGGGGCAACCCTGCTTTATAACTAGATGCATCACAACCGGGGGCTCAGTGGTTCTGCCACCCACCTTGCAAGCAAAAGGTCCCAAGTGCAATGCCCAGTACCAAAAAAAAAAAAAAAGAACTGGTTGAATCTGTGAATCTTTGCTATCCTCTAAGCTGGTTCTAATCCATCCTAGAAGTGCATAGAAATAAATCATAAAGCAATGATAGCAACGAACTTATGCAAGCAGAATTAATACTAAAGATTACCTAAACAAATTTACTTCAAATGGGGACAGTATTTAATAGTAACGAAAGTCTGCTTAAGACTTTAAAAATGAGACTACAATGACAAAATATGCTTCTTTAACATTCAATCACCGCAAGTCAGGTTCACAACCACACACTGTCCAACTGAGCAGTCATAACCCCGTGACTACTTCACTTTACAATAGTTAAGAGTTCAATAGTCAGTCTCTAGTCATCCTGGCAACACCTCAAGCAGCCAAGCAATGAGACCAGTGGTCAATGTGCTGAACAATGCAGACACCATTACACATCCTACTGCATAGTGCTACTCTAACTCTCAGAATGAACAAATAGCCAAGTGTTAGTTTCTCTTCCCCTCTCTCTCTCTCTCTCTCTGTAGTGCTGGGGATCAAAGTCATACATGCTAGGTGAGCCCTCTACCACTGAGTCACATCTCAGCAAGTGTGGGGTCAGTTCTCTTTGGTTTAATTAATCCAAAAAAAATCCTGATAGCATCATGCTACATCCTTCATGTCAAATTACTGACTTTCTGGAGCATATTTAGAAAGAGGTTATTTTACAAAAGTATTCCAGGGTGTCATCACACATTCCCCAAAATCTCTTAATCCTTTGCCACTGTATTGATGAAAATCACATAAATCTGGGGCCAGAATTCCTAGCTCCATGGTGGTTCCTTATGATGTAGACAAATCAACTAGCTTTTGTGTGTGCTTGCCTCAGTTTTCTCATCTCAAATTGAGGATAACAAAATGCTGTCATAAGGACTAAGGAAGTCAAAACAGGCTCAGCACAGAACCAGCTGCTGATCATTCTGCTAGGCATTCAGCTGTGCTGGCCTCCTCATCTGCCCCCTCGCCAAGGCACGCCTGAGAGTCTAGCTGGATGTTCATGTCAACTTGGACCTGATGCTGCTGTCTACATACACAAACACCTTTCAAAGTATCAGACCACGTTGAAAAGAATTTAAAATGGCCCAGAGTGAAGATCAAGCATTTTGTGCTGGAGAAATCATTTTGGTCCTGCAAATTATTGAACAATAAAGTCTGCCTAGAAAATCATTACTTTTATTATCCTGCAACAGTAAAGCACTGCACTGCTATTCTGAAGGCTGAGGTACCCTTTCTTTGGGCACTCCTTCCCCTCACCTTGGGATGACACTGCAGCACGGAGAAGAGAATGTTGTGCATCCTTGAGAAGATGCTGCCGTACTCTGGTGGCCTCAGGTGGTCTAGGGGGATGGTCAGCAGGATGCTGAAGGCCAGGCTGACGTGGTGGGGGTTGCTGATGGCGTTCTCCCCCTGCCGCAGCAGAGCAGCCAAGACATCGAGAATAGGTATGACCCGTGCAAGGGCCACAGGCTGCTCCTCACAAGCCTCTCGGTTCTGCAGCTACAGGACAAGATGGGCATAGAAAGACAATGAAGAAGAGTCTCAGAGAAAGAACACAGCACTGAGCACAGGGTGTCAAAGGTAAGACCACCCTGCTCCAAATAAACTGCTGTAGCCCATGGACAGGTAAAGAGACAAGAGGCCAGCATCCAAAACCCCACTGTGGACCTGGCCACTTCAGCCTCATTCTTTTGTTGATTCATCAGTCACAAAGAGAAGCAATTTTCTGTAAAGACCTGACACATCCATTTTCTCACAGGAAAACTGCATATCAGATATACAAAATAGTAATCTCCCAAAGATCATTTGTCTCATGTTGTCTATAACTAAATATCACTAATTAAGTTTCTTATAAATCAGATCTAGTTAAAGACAATTACTATTTCAGAAAACAAAAGTAACAAACCCAAGACAAAAGAAAGCTCTAAGTCGTACCTAGGTCACCTGAAAGAATGCACTTGGGAGGCCAGGGATTTAGCTCAGTGGTTCCAGTGCCTTCCTCAAAAATGCAAGGTCCAGGGGCCGGGGATTTAGCTCAGCAGTTCGGTGGCCTGCCTTGCAAGCACAAGGACCCAAGTTCAATCCCAGGGACCAAAAAAAAGCAAGGTCCTAAGTTCGATCTCCTGTACCAAAAAAAAAAAAAAA